TTCTCCAAGGCAGCACTCCTCTCTCTAGGAGGCAGACGTGACTTAGCAGTACTTAGAAGGACAAAGGGGGAGTAGGACTTTTCTACCAGCTGCTGGTTGTGAAGGCTCCTTTCTCTTAAGCCTCTTCTACTTCAGCATGACTGATACCTTTCATGATCTGTATGGTTCCTGTAGCTTTGGGATCCAACTAGAATCTGATGTGTTTGTTGAGCATAAGATGTTAACGATGTATTTAAAGTTAATTTATGCAGACTCTACATTCTCAGTCCTGGAGCTAAATGATTTTATTGTTAAAAAAATCCTATAAAGTTCTATAATATAAAGCTCAGAACAAGAAAATGTTAAATGACTTAGAAAGAGCTTTCTGGATCCTGGCTTCTAAAGAACTAGATATTGTAAGTTGGTCTAATTATAACAGTCGGTATTTCTTTCTAATGATAAGCTTGGAAAGGTATCAGAGTGCCACTTCAAAGTATTCATCTTTTAACAAATGCTGGCAATTTGGCCTTAACTCCTTCTTCTAAGCTTGTGGTTAAATAGTTATTTTTTTTTTCTAAAAAATAGACAATTTATAAGGAAAAAATATATAAACACTCTTTAAGCAATTTGACTACAAGCATTACATCACTGAAAAACTCCACAAGAAATAGTAAAATATTTTGAATGGACATATACTTTTTTCATTTTCACAAGATGCGCTAGGGGTTTTTTTTTTTTTTTTAATTTTTGTGTGTGTTTGTTTTGGTATCGGATTTTACTTGTAAATTTATTGCTCCTGTATTTTCTTGTCCTTCCTTAGATTACAACTGTGAAATAGAGGTGCTGTCCATAATCATGTCACAAGGCAACATTGTATTATTTGAGACCTAGGAATGAAATCCACAGGGCCACTGGAGCAACAGTAGCCTCAGAGAGACGATGGCTAGGACAACAGTCAGACGTGCACCACGATGCACAAAAGAATAAGTCTCCTGGCTTATTCAGGACACTTTGGTTTGGAGGAGGAGATAGAAAATTCTTAAGCGTAGCTAGCTGCTGCCTCACATCTGTTGCATAATGTAACATTTTTATAAAACATGCTATGGAGAAGGGGAAAAAGAGTATAAACCCTATTGTATACTGGCTCTTCTTGGCATTCTTGTAGCAGGCTTCATCTAAGCTGATGTGAGAACCAAGTCTCAGCTGTGCTACCAGTGAACGCACGCAATGTACCTGGTGTAAATATCAGTAAAGGATTTTAAATGATGCAGCTCAGAGCCTTAGAGGAAGGGTGGGGACATTGTAAAGCGGGGAGAGGAGGCAAGTTTGAGGATAGAGAAGAGGCTAGAAAGAGAACAGGAGAGTGGAAAGGGATTAAAAAAGCTAAAGTGCAATTTTAAAATATAAATTATTTTAAAAGCAGAAAAGAGATTCTAAATTGCTACTGTTCGCATAGGCACGGTTTGATTCAAATTTAAATGGGTTGTTTCCTTTCCCTTCTTAGATATACTGCATAATGGATCTTGAATGGCTTAAAGCTACTTCATATTGTTTGGGAAGGGACAAAAAGCACTGAGGAAGCTGAATAGTGCAAGGCATTCTAGGGAACTGGGGTGGGGTGGAGAGAGGCAGAGATGAAGTCGTTTTTACACTTTTACAAGAAAGCTGTTCCAGTTATAGTTACTGATTCCCTTTAGCTGAACTCTGCTTCCTAAATAAAAGAGCTTACTTTAAAAAATGAAAAAAAAGAAATACATGTTTAAAAAAACTGTTGAGAATGTTGATTAAAAAAATAACTCACAGAGCAATAAAAGCCCTTGACATGTCTATGCACAGAGATCTAAGCAGACATTTCCACCCACTGATAAGAATAGCCATTTGAAACCCTGAAAAATGAAAATACACATGACTATAGTAGTTTATTATGGACTAAAACTTTAAAAACAAGTCGATCCTACAGAAGAATACTGTTCAAATGGAATGTTTAAAAATAACATTTATTAATAAATATCTTATAAAATTCTAAATTAATAGATTCCTGTTCAAATTTTGCTTTGGTCCTTGAATTCCACTGTATACACACATACATACATATATATTTTCTTAGATTTTTTTTTTAACCAGAAAGAAGCACATTCTATCCTAACTGGATGGCTAGTTTTATAGCAGTTAATGAGGCTTAAACCACCCCACCCCCCCAGCCAAAGGCTCGTCTTTTACCGCAGCTGGTTTATGGTTTTAATGACAATCTCAACTAACACACTGAAGTTTACTTAACAGGCAACAACCACCTGAACATTCACCACTGTTACCTCTCTATCAGAATCTGCTCTGCGTTTTAATTCATTGACTAGATAGGCTCCAAAAGACATTTGCTCTAAGTCACTCTGATTATTACAACGTATACTGTGATGGCACACAAACTGCTTGTCTCCTGTGACTCTCATACATGGATGTTGGGGTAGGAGAGGGATGAGTAGGCGTCTGAAGGGAAAACATCTGACTTAACACCTGGCTTTAAAATTAGTACATTCATCCATGGCTGGGATTTTCACTATACCTGTCCTGGCATCACGGATTAGGAAATGTGTCAAGGAGAAACAATTGAGATGCGGACACCTCAGTTGAGGTGAGGAGTCACCTGGTAGAAATGCTCACAGGTGTACCTATCTGAGTTGTTAACTCCCATCACATAAGGCAGGGAAGGCACTGTAGCAGTTCCCAGGTAGGCTGGCAGTGACTTCAGAGGCATATCGTGCTGATAGAGAAAACCACACACGAATAAGGAGATGCAGTGCTGCAGGGATTTTCCCTGCTTTGGATGGGTGTTCTGAAGTCCATGACTGATTTCCACAAACGTGGATGGGCAACCCCGTAATTGACTGGAGGAGAATGGGGCAGAAAGATGTTCTCCCAGATGGGCAAAAAGTGTAGGGCAGGAAGAAGGAATTATTCCAGGAGGATAGATGGTTCTGTGGTCTGATGAAGGCTGGACCTTTAGGTGAAATAATACTGATAAGCCAAGTGTTGGATTTGATAAATGAATCTTTCTGTTTGGGATTTCAAGAAGCACTAACTACTAGATGGAATCTTTCATCTACTATATTTCCATGTTGTGAATAAACACACCTAAAGGCCCTGGATATAACAAGAAGACAGTTTATTCTAATTATATGTTGAGGCGGGTTTGCTAACGTGTGTGGTTGGTTTCGCCTACTTAGCATAAAAAACAGACATAATTGAGCTATATATAATGCACATCAGTCAAACTGTCAAGTTGCTGAATTAAGAAAACTCAGGCAAGTTCTTAACTGCAGAGGCTTTCAGTTTAACAATGAAATATTTCAATCAAGAAGTGGAACAGAAGTAAACTAAACCATTTTAATGACAGGTCACTCCCTGGACATTCTGATATTACTAGTGGATTTTTTAAAAATCCATTTTATTAAGTGCTATGCATGCAGTAAAGAAAGAAGAGCAAAACAAAATAAAAATTTAAAAAACCAAAATAAGCATTTTAATGCAATCTTTTTTCCTTTCTGGGGGGGGGAGTGGGAATTGGGGGTGAGAGGGGACACATAGATGGTCCTAGGAAGGAATCTTGAAAAATTATTTTTAATTTCAAAACAGAGATGTGAATGTTAATGTCTTTTTAAAGCTAAGTCTTAAACATTTCTTAGGAAGCCAGTCAGATTAAACCACTCAGCTGTTACTGCTGGAATTTAAAAACAACTATGAATTCAGTATTTAAAATACTTGAAAATGATATGTTTGTCTAAAATATAATAAAAAATTCTTTTTTTTCACTTTTTTGTTTTTGTTTTTGTTTTTTGGGGTTTTTTTACTTTTGTTTTGATTCTTTGACCATATATCCAAGTTATAAGTTTCACCAGACACTCAAAACTGCCTTTTGAAAGCACTGCATACATGGAAAGATTGTTGATAAATATTGATTTAAAAAGTAAGTTATTAGATAAAACTGAAACTAGTTATATAAAAATCATGCTTCACGACCCTCGTATTTTCTTTTTTTTCTCCAAAATAGATTCTTAGACTACCATGAGAAAAAAAAACACGTCCTTCCCTTTTCTGAACTCTTATAAAAGCTACACCTTTTGTAAAATACTGTTCTTTTAAAACCCATGAACACACACACACACACACACACACACACACACACAGACACACACGTTAGGAGGTCAAGCATTCAAATGGAGATGAAACGCCAGCACCTGCCTAGACTGCTAGGGAGAAGCATTAGCCCCTGCTATTTGTGAGATGTGATATTAAAACATTAGCACAGTAGAATGGCTTGTTCCAAGGAGGCACGACTGTGGTTCAGGGACTATCTGCTTTTTATAATGGGCAAGTTCATGTCAGTTGTTGAAAATGCAAATCAGAATTATTCAGAAGAGTAGAGTAGCCTGTGCCACATCCATGGAATTCTGTCAGCAGCCAGAGAGCGCTTTGACTGCCATGGGAGGCTGAATGCACTCCTTTGGAAACACCAGGTTTTCTTGCTCTTTGTTCCTCCAGTAGTTAGTCTACTTTCACCCTCCAGAACAGCAAGGCCGGTTCCATGGGCTTAAGAAAATAATAATAATAATAAATCTTAGGCTATTAGCAGCTGATGACTGAACAATGCAATCTGTGTAGTGAATAGAGCCCTTCTGAATTATTACATAGTATGTGAATTTTCAACATTATAGACAGGCTGTATAAAACCAGTTGTAATTCAAGGGTGTGGTGTTATAGCCTCGCATCATAATTTGGACTTTCACAATCAAGGCTTACAAAGCTCCCTTCCCTCGTGTCTCCCCAGCTGGCATTCAACAGTGCTTCACCTATAACTGAACCACCTTTTATTTGCTCTGATTATTAAAAACATTAAATCAGGCACATTACACATCTCCTGGTTACTGTTTTGTGAAAAGCAAGAGTTGAATGAACTCCAGATATGGGTGACAGGCGAGGGAAGCCACGGCTAGGTCCACATTTTTGAGGTTTGCTTTTTTTCTTTCCTTCTTCACATGCAATGCTAAAGGGAAAAAAAAAATAAAACCAGAAAGTCACAATGAAAAGTAGACAGGGAGCCCAAGAAAACGTGGAGATGTAGACTAGGCATTTGAGCAACGGGGCCAAGAGGAGGAGAAAAGGCCGATGGTGGTTTCATTTGGACATTGATGGAGCTTTTCACTTTTTATAGTGAGAAAAAACAAAGTGGTGGGAAAGGCTGTGTGTTAATCTGGGATTCTGGTGACATCACAGTGCAAACTCAACATGAGTTATGATGCCATCAGATTTCTTACCAGTTACCTCGGGTCTGTCTTACTTGACATCCAGGTATGCCTCATTTTGGCTAAAAGCTGTGGTTTAACAAGATTCGATGTTTCAGGCAAAGGTTGGGACTGATCAGAATGAAACCATGACTATATACAGAAAAGGTTCAGTTTATAAACAAGTAACTGGTACCAGAAAATTGGAGAAAAGCACCAAGCATTTCCCAAGCTGATAGATATTAATTGCATAACTCCCTTTTTCTTATATAACTAAAGTATAAAAGACAACATTTCCATAATAACTATAAAAATGAAAGCCAGTCTTTGAAGGGCTGAGGAGTCTTCCAGGTCTGAGTTAATTCTAAAAATGCCCTTAAAAGAAAGGACGCATGGTAGGCTACTGCTCTTCTTGAAGGCCAGATCTGACAGTTGCATTTTAAAGAATCGGATTCAGGTCTGTTCTGTGAGTGGTGAGCTGACTGAGGGTGGAGCTTCCTACGACCTCGCTGACCGACGAGGAAGTAGTGATGGTATTATGCTGGATGACTTGTTGCTGGGAACAAGCTGGGACAGGACTTGCAGGAGGGCTACTCTCCGGACCTAGGAAAAAACACACACACACACATACACCAATATGGCTCTTTCTTGTGTGGACTTGCGGACACCTCAGAAAAGTAGCACTAGACATTTACTTGAAATAGAAGAGTTTCGCATGTTTTCTTTCGGAAGTTAATTTCAAAACGTTCTTTTACACTGTTGTCACAAAGCTATGCCTTCCCAGATTACAGCTACGAGCAAAGCCATGCTTTCTAGATCAGTAAAATGATTTGATGTGTTTGAGTTCTGGTTTGTGAACTTCCCCATCTTGCTTTTTCAAATAGCCATCCATATATCAAATGTGGAAAAATACTCACATGTGGTGGGAGAGTCTGTGTTGCTCAATCTAAAAAATTATTTGAAAATAAATTGACCTTCAGCCGTGAATCCCTGCTCCTCCCCCCATTCCCTACTCAATTAACGTTTAACCTGTTGCCATCCCGGGTGCAGAAAGTGAGGTCCAGTTTATTGGTAAACTGAGGCCAGATCACTAGCGTCTCAGCTAGGTGGGTAACATGCCATTTAACCTGAGGCACTGCATGTGATTCACCCAAGGCTTATTTCCCAGCCCACGGATTTCTCAAGGTGACGCTAGGCCACCAGTAACTGGGCTCCAGCAGGCTCTTTTTTTATCGGCTAACAAAAAGAATTTGATAGGATCTTACATTTGAAATGCCAGGGAAGGTGGAGCCAGGAAGTGGTGGGCATGGTGTTAGATAGGGGTCAGGAAAGAGGGGTCTCCCTGGTAAAGTAGTCTGGCAGCTACTCAAGAATTCTTCCAGAAATGCCTGGGAGTGAAATCTACACTTAACTTTTGCCCTTTCAATAAAATCCAATGCAAAATTAATGGCAAAAAAATTGGACACTAAAAAAGCAAAAAAGTCGGTGACTTACTTAGATATCCTTGTGATTCTTTCTGCATGGCTGTAATTGGGCAGTCTTTATGTGTTAACAACAACTGTTTCAGCTGAGCCACCTCGTTTTTCAACATAGATACTTCATTCTGGAAAGAGACGTATTAAAGCCATGTTGAGAAGACCAGAGAGTCCAAACCCAAAACCCTTTGCACTTTCAACGATGAAATTGGCAAACTCTTCTTTTCTGTTACGTCTGGATGACATTAAGAATATTATTTAGTGGGCTTGACCTGAAAATGTGTCACCTGCCTTCACTCTGGCCCTCACACTTATGAGGCACTTTCTGAAGAGACTTGGTTTTAACTCAAGAGTTGAAAGCTATTAAAAGACTAGCACACATCCTTGGGTGATGGGCTTTGGATCCAGGTGAGAATCCCCTTCCTCCCCACACTTACTGTGTGACCCAATGAGGTAACATCAACCAGCTGAGCTCTAGCAACCTCGTGTATCAAATGGGATAAACATAGTATAAAACTCTTTAGGTTGCTATAAGGATTAAATGAGAGAATAGATGAAAAACCTGTAGATCGATGCCTAGTATGTACTAAACAATCAATAAATTTAGCTATCCTAAACTTCACCAGCTCAGGCTGACATTCAGTATGAGAAGAAGGTGAATGCGAGACACACACTAAGAAGAATTATGAGGTAGGTTTTGTGGCTTCAAGCTGAAATGCAGTCAGAATAAGCTGACTCATTTACCATCAGATTTCCCCAAAGAAGTTCCACATTGGCTACTTTTTAGAAGAGAATGTCCACCTGCCTGATGCCCACTGACCAGGAGACATGAAACACATGGCACAAGTGTGGCTCATCTATTGGTGGGAAGGCATCAGCCCAGGAAGGCAAGAGACAATAAAATTTTGGGTCATTATTAAATTAATTTGATAAGTTCATTAGTTAGTTTGGCTAACTTCAGTCTATAAACTCTTTCCTCCTTCAACATCAGGATTTTTTTTGTTCTTATTTACTCATATAAGTGCCTCATATCTGTACTTTATGTAGTGATTCCCAAAGGTATACTCATGGTTTTATAGAATAATGTATTTGGCACCCATTGTTTACAAATATGAATGTACAATAAATGGGGGGGGCAAGGTGCTTCCATTTGATAAAAGGAAACTGTAAACATAATGCTATCCTGAATGAGTCATTTTTTTAAAATTGTGATAAATAATACTCTCTGGGCAAGGTTCATTTGTGGCTGCTGGACATTATACTTTATAGGTAGGAAACTTTACAAACACATGCTCACAAAAAAGGGTGGTTATAACTGCTGTCATTAAGTCATAGCTACACTTTCAATATGAACTTGGCTTTTCAGGCATGTATTTATCACCTAGGAAAGTAAGTTCGGGATTCCAGAAGTTATTCTAAAAAAAATTAAAACCTGTTTTAAAGAATCTCTCCATTTCCAGTTTCCTTTGTAAAATACATTACAAGCAACTACATATTGAGTAACACTCATAGAAAAATAATAAAAACCTCATCTGCAAAAACTTTTCCTGTTCTCCTTCAAACTTGATCTTTACAAAATAAAAATGCCTATTTGGGAAATTAGCCTTAATGATGAATCAATCACTTAAACAGGGAAATTGCTCTTAAATCTGAGAACATTCATGAAGGCAAATTGCACCTCCCACCTCCAAATGAGTGTGATTGATAAAGGGCTTTGTCGAAGTCAAAAGTGACCCTGTCAATTCCAGGGTCAGTGGGACAATTTTATTTATAGGACAATTTATTTTAGCCGTAAACACTAACTCTTTCATCTCTGATTTTATGCCTCTCTAAATTCAGACAGTTTTCCTTTTTATCTCAGTTCCCGTTCTGCTTAAAATAGTATATATAAAAGAAAGTCACTTTTAAACCATTATAAGAAAGCCATCCCCAGTTAAAAACAAAACAAAAAAGGAAGTAAATTTCATTCTCCAGAATGAAATGTCATATTTTTGTACTTGGACAACAGAAATAATTTTCTGAAATCACAACTGCCTGACACCTAGCACCCTGGGTGAAAGTGAATCTCAGCTGCAGATAATGCAGACAATGGATCTTAGAAAATGGAATATGTTCCAATTTCTAGTGAATCTATACTTTTCTACCGTGACCTGGAAAACAACAAGCAAGGAACTTATTAAAAATCAAATTGGGCTCTCTTATACTTTTGAAAGAAAAAAAAAAATCCTGCCTGGTGGTCATCTTGGAGACATTGAATTTAGGCTCCTTTTTTCCCTACTCTCCTGGACAGCAGACCCCTTCCCTTCCTAGGAAGTATTCTGTCTCCTGGGCACAAAGTGTTCATCACCTCTTCCTTAAGAAAACACTCTCAATTCCGTTCTCTGGGTTTCTACATTATCAAGAAGCTAACTGCCTAGCATACTTGGCACACCCCAAACGGTTTCACAATAAACTTTTTGCTTCCATAAGACTTTCTTACTATGAAACAGCAATAATCACAGCTCTGAACAGTCCATGTGGTGTTCTGACCTATCACTAAAGACCCATACAAAGTATATGATTTTGGTGGCATTGTGTCTATGAACAGCAAAAAACACTTTACTAATAAATCAGTATGTTTTAAGTATGGAGACCAAAGCCTTGAGAGTTGTGAGGGCCTGTAAAGATGTAGAATCCAGAGATTGTTGTGACAACTGACCATCACTTAAAGATATATGTGTAAGTGAATATGGATATGCTTAATGGAATGTGTTAGGAGTTATGTTTTTTAGCCATATTATGGTTGACAAAAAATATGAATTAATATCCTAAGTAGGGAAGAGCAATCAGTCTCTTGTTTAGAACATACACATATAACCATGATAATGTAAGGACTAAATAAAGGTTTAATATTCACCGAAGCCACAGAAATTCATGGGGCAGCATCCAGCAGGAAAAGAAACTCTCAAGGCCAGGCACGGTGACTCACGCCTGTAATCCCAGCACTTTGGGAGGCCGAGGTAGGAGGATCACTTAAGGCCAGGAGATTGAGACCAACCTGGGCAACATAGTGAGAACTCATCTCTACAAAAGAATTAGCGAGGTGTGGTGGTGCACACCTCTAGTCCCAGCTTCTTGGAAAGTTGAGGAAGAAGGATTGCCTGAGTCTAGTGGGTTGAGGTTGTGGTGAGCCATGATTGTGCCACTGCACTCCAACCTGGGTGACAGAGTGAGATTCCAACTCAAAAAAAGAAAAAAGAAAAGAAAAAGAGAAAAGAAACTTGCAACAGGGGGTTGAGAATATTTAATAGAGTTTGAGTTCCCGAATTGCCATACCAACAAAGTGTAAAACAGGATGGTTGAACTAGTTTTTTAAGTGCCTTCCAGAAAGCGTTTTTATTCTATGAGTGATTCTGTGTTGCCTTTTTTTTGAGAAGGCTGCTCAATTATTTAATGAAGAATTCAGTCTTGATTTTTATTTGTTAACTACTTTTGACATTCTCAAATATGCTTATATTGCAGGTCTTATATTTTATTAGAGAGCTTGTTTTAGCACCTCTTATGCTTCCAAATTTTATCAGGGCAGATTGCAAAGCAACATTTATAATTTCATTTTAGAGCCAAATTTCCTATGTCCGTGTATATGTTCATGTTGTTGAGATAGAGTGTGTGGAGCCTTCATCAGATTCTGTAAGGGGTCTTTGGTTTAAGAAAGATAAAAAAAATCTCTGCTCTGGAGAGAGAAGAATGAACTATGTACTATGCACTCGCATACTTATCTTAAAGATTCCATATCGAAAGACTGATTAATATGGAAAATGCACAAATGCTAGGGTGTATTTTAAGTAAGAATCTTTTTTCAAGGAAAAGTAGAATCACCTTGAATTCATTTTGCAAGAGAACAACCAGATAGCAAATGTTTCAAAATGATAAAAGAAATCAAATATGGTCCATTAAGTCTAGCAGGGAAATAAAAGCCGGACTTTGGGAGACATTTTCTTACTCTGGATCACTTTGTTTTATAAATTGAGGAAAATCATGAATTTCTTTTTACAAAATGTCTACATAGTAATATTGTACCCACTATGTATGTGTACCTACTATAGCAATAATTCTAGGTCTCCATCTAAAAGTACTTTGTAAAAGCAAAGTATTAATACTATGTATTGATTCTCTTATGGAAATCAACTCTTCATTTTTTCTTCCATTTTTCAAAACTAATTTGAATTTACTACTCCAAAGTAGTTGGCCATTTAGAGACTGCTAGAGGATAGATGTAGTTGAATTGATGTATTTTTAAGCCCATAAGTTTGTCTTAGGATAAAGTAGCAAGCACTCTACAGAGATATTCAATACTACAATAATATACTTTAAACAAGCACTCCAAGAAGTCCCTAACAGCTACATTTACTGTTTTCAGCTTTGGAGACATCATTTAGTTATATGATAAATACAGAATGCTTTTTAGTGTAAGCAGTAGTTTGTGCCAAAAAAATAATTATCAAAATGGGTCCTACAATCAACTCCCCCTTCTTTTTTGTAGATTAGCTGAGACGAGGTTTGGTTCGCTCTGAAACAAAGGACTTTCAATTTGTCAAGCAACAGTTCCCATCTGGCCTATTCTCTTGCCAAATCCCAGACCTGGGCTCATATGTCTAAAATTTCAGCAGCAACTTAGACCATGTGTCTTTGCACTAAAAAAGAAAAGCAATTATTTCCATGGGTGACTAGATGATTTCCATATCCTCTACTGAACACAAGTGGTCTACTGAGTACCACATCAGCGGTGGATGAATTTAGAGCCAATCTTGGTCACTGTATCAAACAAAAAGAACATGGATTCTTTTAGCTCATGGACTTTTTAAAATGAAAGGTCACAAAGCAGTGGGCTAGGCCAAACAGGAGACTTGCTTAATTCCCCATTTTGCTCCTAAACTGACTGTGGGACTTTTGGGAGGACTCGTCACTTCCCCAAACCTCAGTTTCTCCTTCTATGAGATGTCAGATTGGGTAGTTTCTAATGTTTCCACCAATACCCATACCTGTGCTGACCTCTTTGGGCAGAGATTTATTGTGAGACTAGGAAACGAAGTCTGGGAGTTGGATTTTTTCTTCTTAGGTCTGGTTTTTCCAATCTGAAACTCTGCCGCCTAACTAGAAGGTTCTATGCTGGAAAACAGCTCAAAAGTGGCAGCTGGCCATCCAGACCGTGGATATTCTGTTTGGCTGGAGTTTGTTTGCTTAGCACCTTCCATTTTTGTTTACTTAAAATTTGGCTCAGTAGACCAGCCTCAAGAGAGACACCTTTTTCTTTTGACAAAGATTCAGTGAGAGGGAAAGGGTCATTCAAAGGTGGCAGAATCTTCAGCACCCTCTCCAGCATCACAGGACGTGAGGCAGAACACTCAGCACCACAGAAAACACCAAACAGTTGTGGCTTCCGTCCCACTGAAGCAAAGTAGTGGTTGAAAAACATCAACAATTTAGTCTTTTCAGAGACTGTCTGTTCCTTGGGCACTGCTTTGCTTTAACAACCAAAAATATCGGTGCCTTTTACATGGACTCAGTAGGATTTTGTTTTCTTTTGTTTTTTTTGTTTGGGGGAGCTAGAGTTCTAGTATCCCTTTGCCTTAGCCATTTGGCTCCAAAGAAATGTAAAAAAGAAATCAATGGATTAGGATTTAGCAAAGAGTAAATTTATCCCATGTCTTGCAAAAGCAATGATAAATATGCATGTGCCAAGTCACAAACACCTCAAAGTCAACTGGCATCTTTGCTTCCCTGCCTCTCTGCTAAGACCCCTCCATGTCTTCATGCTCCAGGATCAGCTAATACCCTAGAATAATTCTGCAAGGATTCATTTTAGTTAAAACTGATTTAGAGACTTATTGGCCTCTGATATGTGTCAGCTGGTGTTCATGGCTCCTTTATCTAAGGCACTGGTTCTCAACCAGGAGACCGATTTTACTCCCTACCTTTAACCACAGGACACTTGACAATGTCTGGAGAATTTTTGGTTGTCACAACTAAAAGTTTTGCTTTTGACATATAGTGAGTAGAGGACAAGGATGCTGCTAATTATGCTATAGTGCACAGGGTACAACAAAGAATGGTTGAGCCCAAAAGTCAGTGGTGCCATGACTGAGGAAACCTACACCTCGGAACTGGTAACAAACTCCTGGGGTTCCCTCAGTGCAGAACAAACTGCTGCAATATTTGTAGGTCCACATATAGAGGAATTTTTATTTATTTGGCATGTTTGTGAAAACTAACTCAATTTTTAATGATTTAGCCTTGTTCTTACTAACATCTGTGAAACTGCACACTTGATTTTCTAATTACATTTTCAATGCACATCAAAATTAAAATGACTATTAATATTAAAATGTTTATACATGTTCTATCTAAAAGTTTCTCACATACTACTGTTGCCTACCAGATTCTAGAAGCGACTTTAGAGATGTCTGAGTCCAGCCATTCCTCTGTGGCTTGACTCCTTGCAATCACATCCTTGCCAAGTGGTCAGGCAGCCAATTCTTGGACACTCCAGTGATGGAGAATTCATTCATTTATTCAACAAATAGTTACTAAGTGTAGACACTATACTATAAACAACAGACAGATGGGGGAAGGAGTAATAAGAGACAATCCCAACTTTCCTGTAAATACACACTTGTGGAGGAATCATTATCTTTTATAATTAATGGTAATAATATGATAATCATTATCTTATTCCCCCACCCACATCTGAGACATGTTTTCCAGTTTCTTGTTCATATCTATCCCCAAAAGAATGACACATTTAGAGGAAAAAGTGAATATCCATAAATTATGAAATTCAGACCCTACAGAACTGACTTTCCTTGAATGCTTGCAACTTGTACACTGAATGCCCAAGTCATTCCATTTAATAGGAGTGAATATGCAAAAGCTTTGGGGATTTAGCACCCTAATTGTTCCTTTCTAAGGATGCACAGAGAACCAGTTGCCGTATGAGGATGAAGGTGATCTTTGAAGGTACAGAGTCTCCTTATATGGGAAGTTTGTTCCCCACCCTTTTCTCTTTGGTCCTTCTCTCAGTTTGTGGAAGCACTAGGATACCCTCCACAACTCTTTTTATTTTTTTATTTTTTGAGTTGGAGTCTCACTCTGTTACCCAGGTTGGAATGTAGTGGTACGCTCACAGTCACTGCAGCCTTGATCTGCTGGTCTCAGGCAATCCTTCTGCCTAGCCTCCCAAGTAGCTGGAACTACAGGTGTGTGCCACTATGCCCGGCTAATTTTTTTTTATTGTACAGACGAGGTCTTGCCGAGTTGCCCAGGCTGGTCTTGAACCCTGGGCTCAGGCAATCCTCTTGTATCTGTCTCCCAAAGTGCTGGGATTACATGCATGAGCTACCACGCCTGGCTCATACTCAACTCTTATTTTTGACCCTGGACTCTTTGTCACAAATCTCTTTAATTGCCTTTTTTCCTGCTGGTAAATAGTGCACCCTTTTTTTGTGCGTTAGGACAAATGCCCTGCACTGCATCATGTGTATGCCACAAAGTCTGCTTTGGGTATTGGAGTTTCTTCCTTTTCTCTCAGACTTCATTGTAAGATGTCCCCAGTTAAGCCATTCATAAAAAGCAAAAATCATGTAAGAATCTTGCTGAGTTAGAAAATGGGACCGTAATGTGACTTTTCTTTCAGAGCAAAACAAAACCATAAACCTTCCTTTCTTCCATTAAGTAAGAATACAGGTAATCAAGTATAAGCCAAAGCGACCCCCTCAACCTCATGAATATAGACAGTTATTTTTCAGTTGAAGATTTATTATGTGCAGGCACTGTGCAACTGCTTTAGAGACAGTAGTTTATTTATTCCTCCTAAAAACTCTGTAAAGTTATTATTCCCATTTTATAGACGAGGAGACAGACAGCCAGAGAAGTGAACACAGAAAGTAATTGCTGAACCGGCGTTAATTCTCTGTTTGATTAAAGCCTGTGCTCCCAGCCCTAAAACTTAGTTGAATAGGTCCTTCCTCTTCATCTATAGGTTGTAGGCTGATTGATTGAAAACAGAAGTTTAGTTGGGCATGGTGGCTCATGCCTATAATCCCAACAGTTTGAGAAGCCAAGGTGGGAGGATTGCTTGAGCCCAGGAGTTCAAAACGAGCCTAGGGAACACAGTGAGCCCTCCTCTCTACAAAAAATGTAACCAGGCATGGTGGCAAGTGCCGGTAGTCCCAGCTTCTCAGGAGGCTGAGACGGAAGGATTGCCTGCCTGAGCTCAGGAGGTCAAGGCTGCGGTGAGCTGTGATTGTGCCACTGCACTCCAGTCTGAGCGACAGAGCAGGACATCAGCTTAAGGGGGAAAAAAACCCCAAATGGAATGGTTTATTTTGTTGTGCAGAGTGTCCCAGAACTCATACAACTCAAGGAGTAGGTCTGCAGTTCCTCTGTGGGCTAAGTGTGTGGTATTACTAGGTCAACAAGCGCCCGCCAGGGCAGGAAATGTCAATTGTGCACATGGCCTGTGAGCCCTGAGGAAAGAGACAGTGGGCTGCACCTGAAGCTGCATGTTTGTCTGGGTGAGTTCTTCTGCTTTCTTTTCCAGTGACATCACCCAGACCTTCCTCTTCTGTCTGCAGCGGGTGGCAGCTGCCCTGTTCCGTTCCAGAAATTTCCGCCTCCTCTCGTCAGGATCCTCATCTACCACCCTTCGCCGGCGCCCCCCTGTGGGCTGGGGCGGCTGTATTGTCTGGGTTGGCTGCATCTGTTGCGTTGCTGGTGAAACCTGCTAGGACAGAGAGAGAGGTGATTGGGAACAGGGAAGGACACGCTGGGTGAGGGAAAAAGAAAACCCCAAGCGCATGTTAAAATGCAAAGCATAGAAAGTCACTTGCTTTTGTCAGCATATCAAACTTGCTTTTTATGAATGAAATCACACTCATGAAAGAAAAGAAAGAGCATCACTGAACTATATTCTGTGACAGTGGTCCCCAACTTTTTGGCATCAGGGACCAGTATTGTGGAAGATAGTTTTTCCACAGATGGGGCAGAGGGGAATAATTAGGCATTAGATTTTCATAAGGAGCATGCAACCGAGATCCCTTGCATATGCAATTCACAATAGGGCTCATGCTCCTATGAGAATCTAATGCCGCTACTGATCTGACAGCAGTGCTTGTCCACTGCTCACCTCCTGCCAGTGGCCCAGTCCCTAACAGGCCACAGACTGGTAACCAGGGGCTGGGGACCTCTGTCCTATGACATTTAGGGAAGATAGAGGAATGATTTGTGAGAAGATGTAGTCTGATGGATTTTTCCCTGACAAGCATTTGGCCGAATAATCAGAGAGGAAACATTTTTTTTCTTCCTTCAAGTATCCAAACTATTTTATTTAAGATGTGTTTAGAAACTTAACAGTGGTCAGTGTATGACCATAGAGTGAATACAGAGAGGTCAGGGCTATTGTCACTATATGGATGAGTCATCTGTCATCTGTAAAAAACCTCTGTGAAGGTTGTGGGTTCCTTTCATTCTAATGGTGTTAAAACCTTGTTCCTGGAACACACCTCTGGGACATCACTGGCACTCTGACTCCTATCTAAAGAACCCCCTGATGCTGGGAAACAGTTGAAATCCTATTTTCACTATTTCACAGTTCTTACAGCAGAGGACTAGCTGGACCTGCACACTCCAGGTGGGTCTACCTGCTTATCAGAGTGCTCACTAAGGTGGAGGAAGTTACAGAAGAACCTTCTAATGATTGGGAAGCAGGGCCTTTGAAAGCATGAAATCGATGCCCAATGTGGCACTAACCCCTGTTATTCACTGTGTGTGTGAGATGGTGAGGAATGGTGGTGTGTTCCCATATCTTTACCTTAGAAGGAAATCCTGAGTGGCAAAGCACTTTATTAAAAAGTTTTTACCATACGTATAGATTCTTTGCAAGGTCTGCACGGGGCTTGGCAACATCTAAGCTTTTGGAGACCCCCACACATAGAGCTTTATTTCCCCTCATGAGGCAGACACACAGCACCTTGTGAAATTTCTACGACTGACTCTTTATATGTCTGGACACCTAATGCTTTCCCTAATGCACTTCACTCCTTCCTCCTTCTTCATTCTCAATAAAGGGTGGCTTTTTTTCCACCTCTCCCGTTTCTCAGTCACTCAGGTTTATGACTGTAATACCTATAAAGCTGTTTTACAAGAGACATTTAACCTACAGGAATAACAGGCAAAATGTTTTAAAAATAAAGCCCAACAACCTTTTCGACCACATTCCAACCCTATGATTGAAATCAATCAGAATGACTGTAATTGCACTAATAATGCTACTGGTTGACATTGGCTGAATGATGGTGATATATTTTAATCCTAAACTCTATCAACCCTTAAATGACTAACTAAGAGAATCAGGCTCAGGATCGAGGTCAAATTGCATCTCAGTTATTTTATTTAAAGGAAAAACATTTTCTAAAACTGTTTATTAGTGATTTCCTTCTCTCGATCATAGAGGAATTACGAAGTAAATTAGTTGCCGAAGGTCTTACTCATCAGAGTGGCTGATGAAGACATAGTGCTTGTAATTGGCAAGGATGTAGCATGTGTCATTTCAGATGCTGACTCCTGAGCTAACTATTGCAAAGAAAAGCATAAAGAGGGAACTTGCTAACTGCTCGGCTTTTTAAAATTTTTTTGCCTTTATGGTTTCTTTTGGTGATTTATGATCTCTTATTGCCAGCTCTAGACAAAACTCTCAAGTAAACAAAACTGTTGATCTCCATTACAGGGACCTCTCTTTCAATTTCACATCCTCCTACCTTAACTTCAACCAACTTTTAACCCGTGACACTTTTCCTATGCCTTCACCCAAAGGAAAAGCGATGTGGTTTCAGGTAGGGTGCAGGTTCAGGGTTTTAGGTGTGGGTTGGTTAAGAGAATTTCTGGGTGGCCATGTAATGAAACCACCATTCTAAAATCACATCTTACTTGCAGGAAGAACGCAAGAAGCTAGGAGAAATAGTGAATGCAACCCTAAAGCCACAGTGTGTGTCCTTGGTCATTATTGTTACTTAATATTTTATTTTAAAAATGGAATTCTCTTGGCATAGATGCTCTGAAAATTTTAATCAAAACTAATGAATTGTGATTTCAAAAGGACAGAATTTACTCCAAATCATCTTAGAATCACAGAGTTAGGTGGACTCTATTCCTACTCTTCAGATAATCATCTGATTGACAAGATCTTAGTATCAGTCATGTTAATACAATTTAAGAGTAGCACTTTAGAATACTGCTAAATGACCTGGTTCAAATCAACCTGGTCTCCTTGTTAGTAGAGAATTGAAAAAACAGCAACAGTTCCTGCAGCTAATTATAATAGCAATTAACTAATTGCATATACAAACGACCACTTACTGACTTGAAACAGGGCAATTGGCTAATTGGTAATTAGCTAATGAATGGCTTTATATGAAAAGAATTGTTAAACTTGTCTGTGAAATAATTTGTCCACAAAGGCAACCAAACCTTGATTTCTCCTTTTCCCCGTTACATAAGTATACATGTGACTCAATCTGCCTAACATTGACTTTGTAGTTTTCTTTATCTCTTCTAAATACATGTTCCAGTACGGGATTTGACTAAAAATGTGACTAACAAGGTGCTTTGGATAGCATTTTATTGCTAAACTTCTATTACTTTGGTTTGGAATTTGCCATGGCTAACATGTTTTGAAAACCATACCAAGGACTTTACAAATATTCTCTTATTTAATATTCATAAGAGCCTATGGGCTGAGTTTATTATTGCCTCCAACTTATAGATGGGAAAACTGAGCTTTAGGCAGGTTCATTGTTTCTGTTCACAGTCACTCAACAAGCAAGGTTTGCAGAGAATTCAGGTTTTCTCATTCTAAAGCTCAGCTTATTTACTATAAGGAACACCTCTAAGGACCTTTGCAAAAGTAAGTTTATCTAGTGAATAGATTAAGAGAGTTGCCAGGGGCTGACCCATTTTGTGGAGGGTTGTCTAAGTTTGGTGTATTTTAGGGGAGGGGGCACAAGAGGTCAAAAAGCTGCCTGGTGTGAGGTCTTGTCTCCAGAAGCCGACGACGGCGTGACGGTGAATAAGTGTTATTTGGCGGTCCCAAGTTTCCAACACCATTCTGCCCCAGCTGGTCGGAAGCTGGCAGTGTGGATTGGGTGGAGAAGATGGACGAAGGTCATCCTACTTGAGGATCCAAAGTGTCTAGGGCCAGACATGCTCCTGGACATGCCCATCATCTGCTTACTAAAACTCACTCCGGTACACGGACTCGCCTCTCTTCTTGGCTCCGGGTGACATAACGTCTGCCTGGTCCCCCAACCCTCTTTCAGTTGAGTCTAAATGCTGGCTTTCTTTCCCGTCACTCCTGGTGACTCTCCACCCCTGGGATTTGGCCTTTCTTTTGGTCTGATCATCTACAGACCTTGGCTCTCTTTGCTGCCTCCAACGCTTTTCACATTTGGTGGGATGAGTCACCTCTCTTCACCACTTACACTGCACCTTACATCCTAGCATCCATCGTGGAGCTTCTTTGTCTGCCTTGAACTGTTATTATTTAGATTTTTAACATTTACTGTTACTCAGAAGATTGCCCATTGTGTTCAACTTCTATTTTACAGGTGACAAAATTGAATCTCTATGATGTTATGAGACATAGCAGCTAGAACCAGGGTTAGAATTCACTCATTTTTCTCATTCTTCAATCACATCTTTCTTCACAAGCTTAAATTCTACTCCTCCCATCTGTATTATTTTTTGAGGGGCTAACATTGTAACACACTGCAAAGACAGAATTAGAGAACGTGAAGTTTATGATTACCCCTAGAGACTGGACCTGGTATTATTTACTATAGTACTTACAGACATTATGATCTGGTAGGGTCTTATGGGTGTTACCTCCTAAGAAATGAATAGAGCTCCCCAGAATGTCAGCTAGAGCACTGACATGGGCTTGTTGAACAAGATTGCTGCAAATGACCCCAGTTCAGAGCTCACACTGTTAACAAAAAGGACGAGAAGGGGAAAGAGATCATGGAAAACGTCTACCTGTGCTTGGTTGCCGGTGTGCAGGGGCGGGTGTGGCGAGGTCTGGTGATGTGCTGGGTGTGCGTGAAGGTGGGAATGGGAGTGATGATGTGGGTGGTTCTGCTGGTGATGGGGTTGAGGGTGAGGATGGTGTGCTGGGTGCTGGTGCTGGTGTGGGTAGGGGTGGTGGGGTGGCAGTGTCTGGTGCTGATGCGGGTGCGAGTGCATGGGATGGTGCGGCGTCTGGTCCTGCCGGGAGCCCATCATTTCCATCATGTGTCCCATGGTGTTCATATTCCCATTTGACATGGTGGCAGGGTGGTGAGTCAACGCGGCCTTCAACCTCTGAAACAGAACAAAACAAGAGGGGACAACTGAGGTCAGTCATGTGCACGATAGGGATTTTGAAGCCAAATGACTCACATGTCCAACTCTACAATATTTTATGTTTCTACTTAACATTTTCTTCTGGTAACAAGAGGGCTTTTGTACAATTTCATATTTTCTTACATATTGTGGTAGGTAGGAGGTTCAATGTCAGCTATAAATGTTAATTCAACTGTCATAGCAAATGGACAGGACATCCTATCTAGATTTAGACATTCTACTAAAAGATATTTCCTACTATCCAATCATTCATGAAATTATATCAACAGATGAATACAAGTCTAAACCAAATAGAACCATTTGATAGGATAATGCCACTGAACACACCGCTATCTCACATGGCGCTGTATTTTCAGAGTCACAGCAGAAGAGATTTTGCCTCTCAAAATATTTCTCAGAGCCGGGCTCGGTGGCTCAGCCTGTAATCCCGCGCTTTGGGAGACCAAGGTGAGTGAATTGCCTGAGCCTGCAGGTTTGAGACCCACCTGGGCAACTTGGTGAGACCTCATCTCTACAATAAATCAAAAAAGTTAGCCGAGCGTAGTAGTGTGCGCCTGTAGTTCTGGTTGCTTGGAAGGCTGAGGCGGAAGGATCGCCAGAGCCCAGCAAGTCGAGGCTGCAGTGGCCGGAAGCAGCTACTGCACTCCAGTCTGGGTGACAGAGTGAGACGCCAACTCAAAAAATATATATATTTTCTCAGACACAGAGAATATATAACTTCAAATGTTAAGATGTTGGAAGAAAAAATTAAAAAAAAAAAAGATGTTGGAAGAGTACTAAAATGATTTTAGGGCTTTGAGTTAGAACAAGCAGCCCTTAACCTTTGGAGGCAATGTGTAGGTCTATTTTGTTTGCTCCCATGATCCCTCTCACAGTTCCACCTGAGAATTTACTTCTCCCATGCAGTCACTGTCTTCTGACTTTGAGAAGGGAGTGAGGAAAGTAAGTATGGAGTATTGCACCTTCTTTGATGGCTGCTCATGAGGACCGATATATTTCTAATGCAAAAGCTTCATCCATTGATAAGCAGATATGCACACAGGTAACTTGTACCTGAATTCAAAGCAGAGGTGAGTAAAACCTTTTTCTAGAAAGAGTCAGATAGTAAATATTTCTGTCACTGCATGCCTTATAGTCTTTGTCACGGCTACTCATCTCTGCTACTGTGGAGGAAAAATAGCTCTAGACGGTATGTAAATGAGTCAACAAGCTGTGTTCTAATACAACTTTATTTAAGGGTAGGAAACATGAATTTCATATCTTTTCACGTCACAAAATGTCATTCTACTTTTGCATATTTTTCCCCAATCACTTAAAATGTAAAAAGCATTCTTAGCTCATGCACTATACAAAGTTAGACAGCGGGCCAGGGTTTGCCCATGGGCCATAGTTTGCTAACCCTGTTCTAAAGGTTCAGCTGGTAATCAGTTTAGCTTCTTCAAAATTGTTCTTTCTTCGACACAGGCAATTATCATCCCATCCTAAGGGACACAGTGTGCTAAGTACTGTATGATGCAGCTACTCCTTGGAAATGTGTCTCATGCAGAGAGATAGTCTAATTGGCAAGCTCACATTGGCTTCATGAAGTATTTACTAAGGGACTCAAAGCTCTCTCCTGATTTGTGTTCTTATCTGATTGATGATAGCGGTGTGTCATCACTGGGCAAAGGAAGAGTTGCATTTACATGATGATCAAAGCTACCGTGCTCTAGCCTTGTACAATATTCATGATTTTCAACCAGTTATACTATTGAAAAATACCAATTCAATTAATAAAAACCTTTAGTTAAACATAAAGAGCTTCCACTTGTTAAAAAAAAAAAAGAGGGAGGAATGATAGACTATATGTTACTACTAGATAATCATTTAAAACATTTTCCACATCCTGATTCAGCAACCACTTAGTCCTACTCGCCTCTTTCATGAGCAAAAGATACGGCACAGCAGCTACCTTCATAGGGATAATATTAAAGAAGTGAAGCGTTCTCAGTCTCTGGGGAAGATGAGATGCTGGGCATTGTGTTGACTACTAAACCTAAAAGTGAACTAATACTCCTCATCTGCAATTTTTAGAAATGATTTCATTGTTTTTATAAAAATGCTCATTATAAAAACTGTAAGCAATGCTTAAAAGTACAATGAAATCAGCTGCAACTGAGCCAAATGCGTTGTTTATATTTGGTGGGTGAACGGCATTGCCAGACAAGTCTATGTAAGCACACGCAGAGATGGAAGAACAACTAGAATAATTTTATAATACTGGAATCATAATGGCATGTAATTTAAAAAACTTTTCTTTGACTATGGCATAGCAAAGAAGTAACAATCCTGTGAATTGCTAAGCTTCAAATATATGGTTCTTTGCATCAATAAGTTTCTGAATGATATCTCCAAACTTAAGGATGGAAAAAGTATTTTAAAAGGTTATGCTGAAATCATTATGGTCATTGACATACTGATACTGGATAGTATAGATGGACTTTCTTTCTTTTTTTTTTTTTTTTTGAGTTGGAGTCTCAATCTGTTGCCCAGGCTGGAGTGCAGTGGCACGCTTACCATCACCCCAGCATTGATCTGCGAGTTCCGGTGATCCTCCCACTCAGCCTTCCAAGTAGCCAGAACTATAGGTGCATACTACCACACCCAGCTAATTTTTGATTTATTGTAGAGACGAGGTCTTGCCAAGTTGCCTGGATTGGTCTTGAACCCATGGGCTCAGGCTAGATGGGCTTTCTAAGGCATTCTCTGTAATTTCTTTATTGTAAAAGTATACAGATATATAGTAAAACACACACAAAAACAACTACTACAAGAATACTAGGTGAAAAAGTAAGAGCCACCTACCTAACCTTCTACTCCTAAACTCCAGTCCATTCCTCAGGTGTAACCACCATGTGTCCTCTGACATTTGCATAGCACTTATAAGGATACCTTTGTACAAGCCCTTTCTATGATAGGCTTGTATTCTGCTTTTCATTCTTTTAACTATATATCGTTGATGTCTTTCCATATCAGTAAAGATAGCTAATATTGATTCCTAGCCTTAACTGAGCACTTGCTGCGGGCCAGTCCTTGTTCTATATGTTACAAGTGCCAAGTCATCTAAGCCTTGAACAACCCTGCAAGGCTTAGGGAGAAAAACGAAGCCACTGGGGAGCTGAGAGGTCTACCTCCAAAACCTGTTCTCTAAATTAGGAGAGAAGGTGCCAGAAGGCATGCCAATCACACTCTGCCAAAAACAGGAATGAACTCTGTTATGCCACATAAGAAGGAAGGCAGAAGGAAAGAGAAGGTGCTAGAAAAGCTGACAGGATGTCATTGCTACATGGTCCAGTAGTAGCCATGTGCGTACATTTCTTTCTTTTTTTTTTTTTTTTTTTTGAGTTGGAGTCTCACTCTGTTGCCCATACTGGAGTGCAATGGCCGCTCCCGGCCACCACAGCCTCGATCTGCTGGGCTCAGGCGATCCTTCCGCCTTAGCCTTCCAAGTAGCTGGAACTACAGGCATGCACTACCACACCTGGCTAGTTTTTTGATTTATTGTAGAGATGAGGTCTCACCAAGTTGCCCAGGCGGGTCTCGAACCCACGGGTTCAGGCAATTCACTCACCTCAGCCTCCCAAAGGTGCGGATTACAGGTTGAGCCACCGAGCCTGGCTGTGCATGCGTTTCTTAGCACACAACTGGAGATCCGAATGAGCTCTTTCTGAGATTTGGTGGAGGGGAGGCTGGATGGTAAGAATTTCTAGGACGCTCACCTGCAGCAAGGGACTGTCCAGGGCTCACCATCTTCATCTCCCTTGTTGTATTCATGAAGAATTGATACATTTTCCCCCCACCCCAAGACTCTGAAATGATAAGGGCCACATGTCTCTTCTCCTTGCCCCAACTTCCTGTAACCTTTTTAAGTCTTTCTAATGCTTAGGGGATGAAGGTCAAAGCCCTTAATGTGGTCCACGTTTAGTCCCAACAGGGAATGGGCCTGCCTTCCCATCAGCCCTTGCTTTTTCCACCCAGTCACACCAGCCTGCTTTTAGTCTCTGGAGGGAGCAGACACAAGGCCTTTGCCATGGATACCCTTCTTGCCTGGAATGCTCTTTCCCTTTTTTCAGACATTCTATAACTCTCAGCTCTAGTCTCCTCCTTCATACAGTTCTCCCTGGTCTCTTGGTCTAAATAAATTCCTATTTTTATATGATACCAATAGAACCAAAATCCTTTTTTAAGAAATGCAGTTCGTAGTTATATAGTTTTTAGTATGATTATTCTATTAATATTCATCAACCATCCCAGATTGTAAACTTCATGAGAGCAGAAACATGTTGAATTTTGTTCAGTGTTAAGTTCACAGCTTTAGCACAGAGTCTGAACATGTTATGTACTGAATTCATATTTTTGGAATGAATGAATGTATAAATGAATGACTTTCTGAGGCTTATATGAGGATATAGCATTTTTATCATGGATCACTGTGGGTGGTATTTATGTGGGAGGATAATTTTATTAATCAAGGTTAGTAGAATCAACTCCAAAAGTCATGCCGGCAGATAGGCTATAAAAGGCATTCAAAACAGCTCCCAGATCCACACCCTGCCTGCCCTCTAAAAAATGGTAACAGAGAAAAGAAAACAGAAGTAAATAAGAGGAATGCATGTACCTTTTATCTTGATATATTTTTCCTAAAAATGTAGCAAGGAAAATTGAAAAGCTGTGTAGGAGTGGGTCATAGTATCATCCCTTCAAAGCTATAAACAACTTTCCCACCTTTAATTAAGAGCAAATAGAGTCTGACAAATAAATACTATTCACCAGATCTTCATCTCGCCAATAATTAGCATGTTCTGTTAAGGGAAATTACTTGATTGCCTCAAGTCTATTCTTGCACGTTTCACTCCAAGACAATAAATGCTAGCAATGCTCATAACATTCCACTTATCTATTTACCCAACAAATATTTA